CCCGGCACTGGCAGCTGTCTTAACATGACTTTTCGCACGAGCCGGTGGCGTGTCGCACGATCGACTTTATCGCACGAGCTGGCCTTTCGCATCGTAGCTGAAGGAGATGGACAATGAGGAGCTAGGCCATGACTAGTCGGAGGAGAAGGGGAATGAGGCTGAGCAAACCTTCTCCAGCACAGTGTCTCCCCCAACCCGCCCAATCCCTCCACACGCGCCTTCCTCCCTCATACCCATCCTTCTCCTTTCGTCCCTGCTCCTGCTCATCCATATCAATCCCCGCATCCTTCCTCTCCTCCCCCCTCCTCCTCCTCCTCCTTCTCCTCCTCCTCCTCCTCCTCCTCCTCCTCCTCATCATCATCACACTCGTCCCCGGACATTGCCGTTTTGTGGTAGGCCGCGACGTGCTGCGGTGATGCGGAAAATAACACACAGAGCGCGCTAGTTGTCCGAGCTCTGAAGCTTGTGCGGCACCCAAGTTCGCACTCGCTATTTGGTATCGCAGGCCTTATGGGGCTGCGTGAATCGAAGGACAATGCATGATGATAGAGCGGTTGAAGGTGCAGATGACCTCGTAGGAAGATGATGGGGAGGACAAGGCCAAGGCGTTAGAGAAGGTGGATGATGAGGAACATGAGGAGGTTTCCACAGTGGCTGGAGGACGAGACGGATGACAAGGAGGAGTAGGATGATGAGGATAAGCAGAAGAAACAAAAAGAGGCGGAGGGAGAGTCAGACGAGACGGACCGGGGAGGGCAAACCATATCTGAACACATGCGGTTACTTGCGCCAGTGTCAGGGCCAGCTCAGCGCTTGCACGCACGCAGCACGAACCAGCGATCAGCTCAGAGTTCGACCGATTTTTTTCTCGCTCGTTCCTCCCTCATGATCTCGCGAAATGCCAAGAAAGAAGGATTCTCGCGATCCTCGTATGCTGGTCCCAGCATGTAGTGGTTCTGACCCGATCTCATCTCGAACTCGGTGGCTATGATCTTTTCACCAGTCTCCTCGTCGGTCCCGTAGAGCCTGTACTTATGGCCAACAGCTGCTTCATCGCGGCAAATCTTGTCCATGGCAGGTACTTCGCCCAGGCTGACTCCCTCGGTAAGGCCGTCGACTAACCTGAGCTCGAGGGGCGACTGCCGGAAATTTCCGAAGCAAACCGGTTGTAAAGTGCCCCCGCTGCCAATACAGACAGCTGGCAAGACGGACAGCCCGAGCCAAAGCGAACCCACTAAAAGCTGCCCATGGCTCGGCATCGCCCACGGGTCGCAGGTCACCTGGCGAAGGCAGGCCAGGCCAAGCTGCGATCCTGCATGACCGTCTGCGGCGAGTCGAGCCAGAAGCTACGGATTACTGCTACAAACTTCCCCTACTTTGAGAGTGCGCGCGTTGGCCATCGTACTCTCTTCTGGACAATCTGATCTGAATGTGTGCTTGCGAAAGAGAAGGCCGCGCTGTTGGCGGGGTGCATGCCCCAGCCAGCTGATTGCCAGTGGCTGAACGCATGCCTGTGCTGTGGGAGCTCCATGGGCGGACGAGCGCATGGCGGGGGCACGATCAGCCAACATCGAACGGGCAACTCCGATCGAGTAGGCATTTGCGTCGGACCGGCCTGCATCGGCTGAAATTCGAACCGGAACGGCTGCACCAGAATGCAAAGTCGCGCCGTGCAAGCATCGGACCGCTTCGAATCCTCGAGATGTCGGAGCCAAATCGAGCCTGGCGGGACAGCATCAATGTGGAGTCGGATCGAATCGGGTCGAAGTGGGGCCGCGGGGGTGGAGACAAGGTGAGGACGTGGGGGGCCCGACGCGCACGGCGGGGGCAGCGGCGTGGAACGGAACGGCGCCGCGGAGTGGTGGCACAATGTGGGGCGTGGCGTGCTGGCCGTGGAAGCCACTCGAGTCTGATACCTTCGAACCTTGACACCAAAAACGCGTTCTTGGGAAAACGCTGTGTTGCGTAGCCCAGGGTTGCACGTCCGAGGCCGCTCTGCGCCGTCGGGGCAAGCCCCGTGCAGAGGCGGGAGCCGGAGCAGCGCATGGGGAGCGACCCCAAGCCGGGGCGCGCCGGGCCGCTGAGGCGGTGGGGTAGCTCCACTCGCACCCTGCAACTGGGGGGGAGTGGGTGGAGAGGGCTTCTGCACGAGGCATGGCGAAAAGGACCAGTGGCCCAAATGCGTCCGGTGGGGGGGGACGCGTTGGTTCGGGTTGGGAGGGGTGGGGGGGTAATGCCTGCGGGGCCGAGAATGTACCATGCGCGCAAGCACACACACATGCACACGTAGTTAGTCTTGGGAAGAGAGAAATGCCGAAGAGGACTGACGCCGTGCACATCACTCAACGAGCGCCACACCCCGCTTGAACCCACACCAACATTGGATCAGGCTGGAGCGAACAGAATGAGGAAACGATCAGACAACGAGGGTAGAAACAAGTCGTGTGCACACCCGTGTTCGAACGCTCCCCGTAGGGAGTGCATCTGGAGGTACAGATGGGGGAGATGGAGGAACGAAGGACCATCGGGCCAGAGCGGCGTGCACACTCGTTGAGACCTGCCTGCGCGTGCACCCCACTGGGACCACAGCTGGTGCTCATTGGGGGGAGGCCGAGCAATATGCGTGGCGGCTGAAGTCCAGGGTGATGCGCAGACTTGCACGCGAATGACCCTGGAACAGACCGCAACTGGGACTAGACTCCACGACTAGCTCGAAGAGGGAGCACAGGAGGACGAGAAGGGGAAGGAAGGGGGGGAGTGGGGGTACAAGAGAGAAATAACAACAAATATCTAACGAAGGTCATGCACGTCAGAAGCGCGCTAGCAGAACGGACGGCGGGACCTACAATTGGCGGTAACGGATATCTTGAGCAACGATACAAGGCTTGCTTTCGAGAAGGGGAGATGGGATTGACTCAACATCATACCCCATACCACTTCTGGACACAATGTCCTTGGCCACGCGAGGCTGCGACGACCGCCCAACAAAAAATAACAACGGCGATGAAGACACCGAAACTAGGGGAACAAAAAGTGACATAAACATAACAACTCGGAAGTCCGCGCAGATTTCTCGGATCGGCGCTGGACCCCCCTCCCTGGCGCGCGGAGCGCGCCAGGGGCGGCGCCGGAGGCGCCGCCGGGGGGCCCCAGCGCCGATCCGAGCAATCCGCGCGGACCTTCGAGTTTTCATGTTTAGTCACTTTTTGTCCCCCTAGAAGCCCAATGCAACTTTGACCCGCTGATGGTCCTCCTCCTCCTCCTCCTCCTCCTCCTCCTCCTCCTCCTCCTCCTCCTCCTCCTCCTCCTCCTCCTCCCTCTCGAGCAGCAGCTGTGTGATCCCAGGGAGGCCGGCGGAGGTCGGCGCCGGACGCCCTGCCGCGCTCCGAGCGCCAGAGAGGGGCGGATCCGCGCCGACCGCGACGCCGCCCAGCGCCGCTCCGCGCCCGGGGAAGCGTCGAACGCCGAAGGAAGGAAATCCGCGCGGACCTCCGACAGTTCTCAAGGGGACGTAAGACCTGGGTACAGGGAACTCGGAAATCCCCGACGAGGTCGTCAAAAAAATGACGAGGCCGAGCCTGCATTCTGACGAGGCCTCCCGCTGCAGACATCCCAGGAAACTCCTCCTCGTCAAAATCCGAGGCGCGGTCGTCAAAAAACCATGGCGAACCCGAGTTCTGGCAAACCCGGGTCTTACGCTCCCCCGAATGGAAGGAATCCGGGCGGACCTCCGACAGTTCATGCATGGTCACGCAGCAGCGTCTTCTCCGCTCCTCCTCCGCGACCTCCTCCGCCCCCTCCGCGCCCGTTCCGAGGGAGGAGATCGCCCGCTCCCGGCGGAGGCCGCGCCCGCGCAGTGAGCAGGAGGCGAGGGCTGCGCCGCGGGAGGGACGCCTCGTCAAGCACGAGTCGTATCTGAGCGGCCCCCGAGAGGGCCACGGGAGAGATGGGGAACGTTAGGGGGAGGCTTTGTGGGCCCCGGGAACGGCAGGGCCGTTTTTCACCGTTTCCTGAAAAAATGCCCCTTGATAATGGAAACGGCAAAAAAACGGCGACCAGAAACGGCAAAAAACGGCTCCAGGATTGGAATCGGAGCCCAAACCGGTCAAAAAACGGCGACGGAACCGGCAACAAAACAGCGTCGGAACCGGCAAAAAAACGGCAAAACGGAACCGGTAAAAAAACGGCCCTGTCGTTTCCAGGGCCCACTAAGGGGGGGGTCCAGCTCAAGGGGGAAACGTCGACCCGGAAACGTCGCCGATAGATCGGCGATGGGCCCGAGACAGCGGATCCGCACGACCCTGTGCGGAACGGACGAGCGGGCCCCGTCAGCGACGAAGGGGCGATTTGGGGGTCCATGCACTCGCCTCTGAGCCGATCCCCCCCGGACGTTGCCCCTGGGTTTCGGGTCATCACTCCCGAAAGGGCCCCAGGACACACAAATAAATACACACAAGTAAAAGATTCCCAATATTTTCCTATATTTTCTGTTTTTTGTCTTCCCCCCCACTTCCCATATTTTCCTATATTTTTTGGGGAATCGACGATTAATTGTGTCTGTGTGTTTTTTCCCTCCTGACAGCTCAAGGGGGAAACATCGACCCGGAAACGTCGCCGATCGATCGGCGATAGGCCCGAGACGGCGGATCCGCACGACCCTGTGCAGAGCGGGCGATCGGCCCCGCCAGCGACGAAGGTGCGATTGGGGGTCAATGCGCTCGCCTCTGAGCCTATCCCCCCCATGACGTTGCCCCTGGGTTTCGGGTCATCGCTCCGCTGTCATCGCTCCGCTCTCCAGAGGACGATCGGGACACCTCCAGAGAGCCCTCGGCGAGGCGCGGCCGCTGGAGATCCCCCCCAGGCTGTAAGACCGCAGAGGACCGACGACAACGCGCGAAAGCCTCGAACCGCGAACCCCGAACCGACGAGAACGTGCGAGAACCTCGAGCCTCGAACCTCCTTCATTCCTGGCGACCTCCACACGCTCGAGCCACGGCGGCTCCTTGTGGAGGACCTGCAGCCGGGGTATCGCGCTGGCGCCCCTCCGGAGCTCCTGGTGGGGAAGCGGGGAGCCCGGCGCTGCCAGGAGCAGCCGCGGAGCGCGTGAGGGGACGGGGTCCTGAGACGTCCTCGGGCCGCGGCTGTGAGTTGTGGCCTGTCGGCCCCCCCCCGGGGGGCCGTCGGCGGGCCCGTGGACGGTCAGAGGCGGCTCGGGCTGAGACGTCTGTCCCAAACTCCAGCCCTCGGGGCCCAGGCCCCTGGGGGCCCACGCCCTCGGAGGGGCGAGAGCGGGGAACGCCAGGCGCGAGGCTTCGGGGCCCAAGTCGCTGGGCCCCAGGTCTGGCCCCGATCGGCGCGTCCCTGCGAAGCGCCGACCACGGCATCCCGTACGTGATCTCCGTCGATCGATCTTTCGGTCAGCGCTGGTTCTGCTCGGCCCTGGCGGTGCCTCCGCCGCCCTTGGCGCGCTCCGCGCACCCGGGCGGGGTGCCCAGCGCAGATCCAAGGAATCTGCGCGAAACGCCGACAGTGTGTGTGTGTGTGTGTGTGTCTATGCCGCTTGCTGTGTTTCTACCCTCGCCATCTGGCGGAGCACTTATTTATCGCGGCGCCAACCATCGCTCCGCGCGGGAGGGGTTGCGGAACGGCAGATTCGCAGAAAGGAAATAGGAAAAGGCGAGGGCGGCCACGTAAAGGGGGCTGCGGGCAGGCAAGGCGCTCAGACCGTGCAGTCCATCACGCCGGTGTGGCGGCCCAGTCTTCGGTCTTCGTTTGGGAATCATGCAAATTGAATCGGGCAACAAAACACGGCAGACGGAATTTGGCCGTGCGTGCGTGTCCCAATGAATCTACCAGCCGCTCCTGTCATTGTTTTCCTACGTTTATCAAACATTTCGCCTTGAAGACTGTTTTCAGGCCTTGAGAACGTCGAGCCGCATCAGACCAGGACGAAAAATTCGCCGGCCCAACGGGCCAGGGCGTGCTAAGATCTCCGGTACCTGGTTAACAGTATTTCTAGTTCGCGCGCGCGGGGCGGCCCCTGGGGGTCCCCGGACGAAAAGTACCCCGGCAAGGTCGCGGCAAGGTCGGGTCAGAGATGCCGGAGTTCTGTTTCGGAGTCCAAGAGGGCTCCAGATCGGTCCAAGAGGGCCCCGAGAAGCTTTCTAGACGGTCCAAGAGAGGCCCGAGACGGCCAAAGATCGCCCGAAGACGCCCCAGATGGCCCCAAGACAGCCCAAGAGGCCTCCAAGACGCTCCAAGGGCCTTCCAAGAGGCCTCCGAAGAGGGCCCCAAGTTGCCAAAATCGTTGATTTTCATTGGTTTTTTCTATGTTTTTTTGCGTTCTGGCCTTTTCGCTTCCGGACGCTCCAAGAGGGCCCAAGAGGCCTTCAAGACTGCTCCAAGACGGCCCACGAGGCTCCCAAGACGGCCCCGGAGCGGCCCAAGAGCGCCCCCCAGACGGCCCAAGTGCTGCCCAAGGCGGACCAAGAGGCCCCAAGACGGGCCCAAGAGGGGCTCAAGAAGGGAA